GGACGGGCAGTAGCCGGGCGGCGCAAGTAGCAGGGTGGGCAGGAGCCAGGCGGCGCAAGCAGCAAGGCGGGCACGCTGGCTGCAAAAGGGGTGGCAAGCGGGCTGCAGACGGCGGCGCGTGGGCTGCAAAGGGGGGGTGCGGCGAGCGGGCCGCAAGGGGCGGCGAGCGGGCTGCAGGGGCGGCGAGCGGGCCGCAGGCAGGCGGCAAGTGGGCTACAGGGTTGGCGAGCTGGCCGCAAACGGGCGGCAAGCGGGCTGCATGGGCGGCGAGCGGGTCGCAGGCAGGCGGCGAGCGGGCGGCAGGGGTGGCGAGTGGGCCACGAGCAAGCGGCGAGCGGGCGGCAGGGGCGGCGATCGAGCTGCAGGCAGGCTGCGAGCGGGCGGCAGGTGCGGTGGGCGGGCGGCAAGCGGGCTGCAGGGGCGGCGAGCGGGCCGCGAGCAAGCGGCGAGCGGGCTGCAGGGGCGGTGAGCGAGCCGCAAGCGGGCGGCGAGCGGGCCATGGGGGCATCGAGCGGGCCGCAAGGGTGGCGAGCTGGCCGCAAAGGCGGCGAGCGGGGCTAGGGGTGGCGCGTGGGCCACAAATGGGCGGCGCGCCGGCTACAGGGGCGGCGCGCGGGCCGCAAGTAGGTGGCGAGCGGGCTGAAGGGGCAGCGCGCTGGCTGCAGGGGCGGCTCGTGGGCTGCTAAGGGCGGCGCGACGAGCTGCTAGGGGCGGTGCAGCGGCCAGAAGGGCGGCGCGTCAGTAGGGTAGGGCGGCAGGGCAGCTAGTGGGGCAGCTCTGTGGTGGGCCCTAAAAAAATCGGTCCTAGGGAAGGACCTGCTCTGAAACCATGTCAAACTAACAAGCGAGAATGGATGAACTATGAAAGAGTTGGGTACAAGTACTAACCTAATTGAGTTGTACCCCTTATGGGCTACCCCACTATAGCCTACACAAAGTAAGCAATGTAATATTATGACACCAAGTAGATGTAGGTAGACGCACGCGCCGCCAGGCACATTGCGCAAGTGCCAGGTAAAACACGTGTCGACGGTTTTGCCAGGCGTGCACCGTCGAGCACGTGATGCCGTTCCGCATGTTGACTTCGCGAAAACCTCATGGGTGACATTCACCTACACGTCGGATTTCGCATTCGAGCGACTTTTGTGTCGACCAGCTCGACGATGCTCCGTCGAACAGCATTCGCCTAGACGAGCACGTCAAGTAGATCCCGTATACCAGCACCTCTCTACGGGCTCGTCGACCAGCGTCCTCTGCGGGCTCGTCGACCAGCGTCCTCTGCGGACCCGTCGACCAGCGTCCTCTGCGAACGCGTCTGCGGATTGGTCGAGGCCGAACTCTACGGACAGGTCGAGGTCGAACTCTGCGGGCAGGTCGACGTCGAACTCTGCGCGCAATCTACGTCGACTTCTGCGCGCAGTATGCGTCGACTTCTGCGCGCCCCCGACTGCGAAGTCTGCTTTGCCCAAGCGAGGGCGGGCCCATTCCCCATCAACAGCTAACGGAGCATTCGCCGCCTTTGCGCGTTGCATTTGCCAAACCATGCATCGCTGGCCTGGCCGAGTCGGCCTACGCCTCGGGACTAGCCCGAACCTCGCTGCCAGCTTCTCACTAGCTAGCTCGCAAGCGCCGCGTTACTGTTTGCATGTTTCGCTTACCAGTATAAGTATTCGCACATGCATTCGCTCATACTTGTACACGTTTGCCAACTTAGTGCAATCTTCGCTACCTCGATATTTTGCATCCGTAACATATAGCTAGAACCTTTTTTAATGCGTATCCTTGAAACTTGTTGAAGAGGTTGACCGCCTTGTAATAAGAAGAGCCAATGTGAGCAGGAATGATATTTTTAGCATGTCTTCAACTAGCTAAGATTCAGGCGAAGACGACAGTAAAATCAGATGTTTGATATGAACAGTGCATTGTAACGCGGATATTGTTGACCATGAACGTCGCAAAATCCATGGCGGCTCTATGGCTGAGAGCATCCTCCCAAGCATCATCTTTTTTCTTTTTAATATACGAAAACAAGAAATATATGAAGTTACTAAGAGACTATTCTTTGTGCATTCGATGGCGGTGGCACATTGATGTTGTTCGCTACTATCGAATCAAGATGCAACTCTCCAGCTGATAAGCAGTACAACCCTATGAGCAGTACATCCGCTGAGGTTGGGACGCGCCGCCGTAGTATTCAGTAATAAGCAGGTAGTACGCCATGTGTGCTTTAGGGGCAGCAGGGTATGATGTTTAAACTGCTGTCGATCGTCGATAAAGTTGATCCGACGCATGAGAGCGCGTCAACAAAGTTGCCTGCAACCATTGGTGCCCCGTCAACAAACCGAGTTGCTAGTGCGACGCCGCCTTCCCGAGACGCATTCAAGTGATGGGCTTCCTGGGAGAATATTTCTTTGGGTTGGGCTTGCTGGTAGGAACTGAGTCAAGAATGAGGGACAAAATAGAGCCAGCGAGCCCAGCCCGTTGGCAATAGAGGTTATTTCACATATGGTATAATCGTTTTCTACCGAAAGCAGTTCCAGGTTACTTGACGGACAAATGTTTGGACTGCCCACACGAGCGACACCTTTTCGTAACCGAACCGCGATGCTCATCGACCTTGATTGGCTGGGCTGGGGGCAAATGAGGGGTCTTGGCTCGGGCATAAATTGTGGCTCTCGCATTGCTTTTCTCAAGAGTTTCGTTTTGAATAGAATCTACTCGATACATCTTCTCATAGAGCCATGGCTCCGATGAAGCTCCTCGCCCTTCTCGTCGTGGCCTCCGCGCTGCTCGTCGCCCTGGTTGTGCCCTCCGCTTATGCGGAGTCCAACGCCGTCGTCAGCACCCAGGAACCGGGTGAGTGATTCCGCCGCTTCTGTTCTACAAACAAACTGCAAATTTCTGTTGATTTTTTTTTTCTGGAACGCCCTTTTCCCAGTAAAGTAAGCCAGGCCTACGAAATTCACCATCGATAAAAAAAATATTGCAGGTACCGCGCTCGCAGCCAGGCGCGTTTTGGGCGACGACCACCACCACAACGACGATGACGATCATCACCACCATCACCACGACGACGATCACGACGACCACCATCACCGCGAGGAGAAGAAGGAAAAGCCAAAGCCTAAGCCTAAGCCATCGCCGCCTAAGCCTAAGCTGACGTGCATGCAGAAGTACAAGATCAAGTACGCCGCTTGCGACGACAAGGAAGAGAAGTGCGTGGCGAAGGCGACCAGTCCCGCCGAGAAGGAGATGTGCGAGGCGCAGTCCACGGCGTGCGAGCGCAAGGCGTACCGCTCGTTCAAGAACTGCAAGTACGGCAAGTGGGGGTGCAAGGACTGGTGCCTGTACCACCACCGCCACTGCATCAAGAACGGCCGCGCGGATTGCGAGGAGAAGTACGGCGAGTGCGTGGAGGCGTGCAAGCCCAAGCCCAAGCCGTCGCCGCCCAAGAAGGAGCACCACGACGACCATCACCATCATGATGACGATCACCACCACCATCACCACGACGACGATCACCACCACCATCACCACCACGACGACTAAATCGCATCTTGAAGATGTAATGTCGCCGCAGCATGGAAAGCGACAGCGAGCAGTAGGCGGTTGGAGAAATGGCAGTGACTTTCATGTGTGGCCAGGGGCGGTGTGTTTGCGCTTGCATGTGGAAAATGTTTGGAACGGAGGGCATGCTGGGAGGGGTTCCAAGTCGCGGGGCAGCACAACGCCTTGTTGTGCTGCATTGCCGTTCATTTCCTTCTCTCAAAATCTCCTGGAGTGTCTTGCCACATTGTAGTAGTTTCCTAATGTTTCAACAACGCTTCAGGCTGTGGGGTAGAGGGGTCTCTGGGGTCGTGGACTAGGCAGGGGTTGGGTTTTGGGAGCAGCAATGCTGGAATAACTCTGTAGTGACCATTGCAAGCTGTTGAAGTGGAAATAGAATATGGGAAAATGATGGCCATAGCATGAGCTGCATGGGGTTGAAAATGAGAAAAAGAAATGGCATTTCATCCGTACCCATGTCAACTGTGTTGGAAACATATAGTTAGCGCTTCTGTTGTGTCGAGCACTACAACAAAAGCGAAGCGAACTGAAGCGAAGCAACAGCGAGTCAACCAAAGCGGTTGACAGAAAGACAACAGCAAGAGGTTGAGTGAAGGTCAAAGGTCAGCGAAAAGCAGCGCAATAGCAAGTACACATAGTAACTTACTCACTATTGAGCACTTACCCGAGTCGTCGCTGTATCGAATCGCAACAACAGTTCTAGTTAGTGAAACCTTTCATACGGTATTCCTTTGTAATCATATAGACTTTGTATCACTAGCTATAATCAACTTATCTTGTTCTCACATACCTGTGCAAGGTGGTTCAATTAGTTCACTATTACGCTTCCGCTAATACATCACTACTCTGAGACTTTAGTCTTGAAAACGATCCTAAGGGCTTTTCTCAGCCCAACAAACTAATGGAAGTTCCACCATGATAACAGTATAGGGTGCTACGTTGAGACCATCAAGTACCCCAGATCTTCATGTCCCTCCCCCCCATCCTCTCTTGACCTAGCCTGCTACCATCACTCCATTCACCCCCTCCCTCACTTTCTCCAGGTGTTGTTGCCCCTACTACTACGTAAGGATTCACATTAATCGGTCATCCCAGTAACTCCACATGACATGACACCCATAAGTGCCATACACTCCCAGAAGCAGCCGATCCAGATCATTAACCCCCCTGACCCTTGATCAGCACCTCATGCTGCCTCTTGTTTGCTCCACCACACTACAATACAACGTTCACATCCTGAATACAGGGTCATCCCGCAAACAAGAATGCTGCTGACACGTGAGGAGTTGCACAAGCACGTACACACAGAAATGCATTGCCATTGCCACCAAACAATCCTATCCTACATTGATGTAACGTGCAAGATCCCAGCTGCAGCTTCAGCAGTACACCTCCCACTTTTTCCCCGCTCGTATGCCTTGCCAGCTGTCCAGTCACCAGGCGAATCTGAGCAAGGAGGTAGCACCTGCCCTGAATGGCACCTGCACGGCTGCCCGGCCATCATCAGGCGTGTATGCAACCTCTGCATCTGCCCCGTCCACTGTACACCACAAAGGCTGCTTCGACGCATACAGCACAAAGCTGCCCCCTCCCCTCATTTCCACCTCCACTGTCCCTTCAGCTGCGCTTGCTCCCGGCTCCCTCGCATCTGCTTCTCTTGCTGCTTTTGTGTGGTTCTCTGTCGTGTCTATATTCGGTGAACCTGCACCTGCAGCATCTGGGCTGGTGGCACAAGGGCGAGAACCACTGATGGTGCTGCTGCGCATGGACAGCACAGCACCCCCCGAGTTGTACATGTTGGTGAGGCCTATCGGCGCCACTGACACGCTTCCCACCACCTGGTGAGGGGCATGGCAGGGATGGGCAGGGTTGACGGGGGTGGTGGGTGTGGTATGGGTGGACATGAGCAAAAATTCGAACCCCTGTTCGGTTAGACTCGAAAGTGTTCGACTCAAACGTGTTCGACTGCTTTTTTTGCCCAAAATTGTTAGTGACGACGCCTTGGTGTTCGTCACAAACACGTTCGACTGTTCGAGTGTTCGTGTGCAGAAAAATGCACCAACACCTAGGTGTTCGAGGGAAATTCAGCGCGTCAAAGTTTGACGCACCGGTTGGATCTAAACGGGGAGGGCGACGATAGAGCTCAAGAATGAGCTCAAGAATGAGCTCAAGAATGAGCTCAAGAATGAGCTCAAGAATGAGCTCAATCGTCGATAGAGCGAAAGGATGGCATTCCGCCCCCTACCCACTTAAACTACCACATTCCCACGGTTAAATTTCCACATTGTGGCTGGAAACGTTAGATTGGATTAGGGTAGGAGACGGTTAAAAAAAGGATCTGAGGGCATTTCGGTTTAGGTTGGAGTTTAGCAAGGCGAAATTGGATATCCACCAGATCTGCGTCAAGCCTAACTATATCTCTTGTAGGGCTATAGGGAATGTGATATTGCTTCTAGTACACTTGCCCGGCCTGAATGTGACTATACTGAAAGAACCCCCCAAGGCAAACTGTTCGAGTTCGGGTCAAACACCTTAGTGTTCGGCCTTGACTCAAAGCTGTTCGACCCGATACTCAAACGGGGAACACTAACATTTAAGAAAACGGTTCGAGTCAAACGTGTTCGGTTCGGTTCGAATTGACCAAGTGTTCGCAAACTGTTCGAGACAAACATGTTCGGTTCGCTCGTTGCTCGTCTTGGTGTGAGTGTGGGTGGACAGAGGGAGGCGATAAGCAAAAGCGATGGGAAGCAGGAGTTGGTAAACACAGCACAGCCCTCCCCAAGTTTAATTGGGCGGAAAGGGATGTGAGTCTATGGTTATGGAATGCGGACGTACAGTGATGGGGGCGACAGTGTAGAGCTCAAACTCGAGGCGGTGCAGGTGCACCACAAGCGATGTGTCTGCTGGTAACCGCACCAACTCGCCTGATGGGGGCAGGGGTGGTGGAAGCGGAGGGATTGGCGTGAGTTGTGGGGGGTTGGATGAGAGCAGAAGGTGCCATGCCATGAGTCGTGATCTCAAACTCGAGGCGGTGCAGGTGCACCACCAGGGATGTGTCTGCTGGCAGCCGCACCAACTCGCCTGACGGGTGCACCGGGGTGTGTTAGTGAAGGGGGTGGAATAGAGCAGCAGGTTGGTGATCTGGGCGATGGGTCGCGGGTTCAACACCCGGCAGCAACTTACAACTCAGCGATGTGTCTGCTAGTAGCCGCACCGGTGGGGGAGGGGGAGGGGTGGGAGTTAGATCGGTTGTGTACAAACAAATACAGGGGATGAATGTAGTGGAGTGGTGTTAACTTGGTGACGGTATGCCCACACACAACCCCACGCACAATTACAAGCACAGGGGATGATAGGCCCGCAACTTGGAATTACGGGAGTGCATTCGAGAGCGGAAATCTCATGCATGGGATGCCATGAGAAGCGTGGGATATTGTCGGGATAAGAGCTGAGTTTTGAGACGTCTCAATTCTCAACTTCTATCACCCACATGCATGCGGTGGAAGATGGTGAAGGGGGGCTTCAAAACACGATGACAGGGGCAAGTTAGCAGAGTGGAGGCGTATGCTGTGACACCAGGCAGCACCCGTACCATGGTGCGGCCAAGTCAGTGTGTGGTGAAGGGCTGACTTTTGAGTCCACTCAAAGGTCATACGCTGCAACACCATGCAACACCATGCAACACCATGCAACACCAGGACCATGGTTCGCCCAAGTCAGCGAGTGATAAAAGTCACGTCACTCTGAATATGCCACTCCACGCAAACTAACACCACCCCACACTCTCTTAAACCCTCTCCCCCTTTCCCTCCCTTCCTCCTTCCTCCCTTTCCCTCCCTTCCTCCTTCCTCCCTTTCCCTCCCTTCCTCCTTCCTCCCTTTCCCTCCCTTCCTCCTTCCTCCCTTTCCTCTGCACACCCACCTGCATTATGCGAAAACACCGCCACGTCTCCCGTCCAGTCGCCGGCCGCCACGTCAGCAAGCAGGTCCACGTCGGCAGCAGCAACAGTCCCAGTAACGGCATCAGGGTCGGGGTTATGCATGGTGTATTTGCGGCCGTCCCTACACCACCCCGCGCCCTGGCAGTTGAATGCGCCCACCATGCCACTGCACGCGTTCATCGTCCATATCTTGAGCATGCTGTAATGATAATGTGGTGTGGGTGACGGGAGCAGGCAGGAGGAGGAAGGAGGGAATCAGGGGTTGGGAGGGGTTGGGGCAGTTAAAAACCGCCCACTATGCCACTGCATGCGTTCACCGTGTAGACCTTGAGCATGCTGCAATCAGACTAGCGGACGTGTGGGGGTTTGGGGAGGTGGTGGATGGATGGCTTGGGAGATGAGGAGAGGGTATGAGTATGGAGCGGTTAGAAGTGGGATGGATGGCATGAGGGGATGAATGGGCATGGCATGAGGTGGGAGGTGCATGGCATGAGGTGGGAGGTGCATGGCATGAGGTGGGAGGTGCATGGCATGAGGTGGGAGGTGCATGGCACGATCGGCAGCATGCGCTATTACACCTGGCGGGGTACACCAAGTGGAGCACCCTGGTGGGTCGACCCGTTCTCTGTGTGACCCACAGTTGGGGACCTGACTGGCCCACTTGCTGCCATTGCAGCAGGCAGCAGCAGCACTATCGCACCTGGTGTGGTCCCGGGCAGGATCAGCAAAGAGGCAGTCCCTGGTGGGTCGGCCGGGCAGCTTGGCGCGCAGCACAGATCCGTCAGGCAGAACCAGCTTGCGCAGCACACTGAAGTCATGCTGCCCTGGCTTGTCGCTGAGAGGGGTGGAGGGGAGGGGGAGGGGGGAGGAAAGGGGGGGGATATGATAGGTCCCGGGGAAGGGGGATTCGGGGAAGGTAAGCTTAGCGCGCAGCACAGCTTGGGTGCTTGGTTTGGCTTGTTGTTGTGTGGGAGAGCGGGAGAGAGTAGGAGAGGACGAGAAAAGGGGGCAGTATGGTATGCCTAGGAAACCTGAGCGGACCTGGCTCTATAGTCGACAGTATGCAAATTTGCAATAAGGGATACCAGTGCACATCACCCACCCCTTATGCACAGCACCTACTCCACACTGGCAGCACCCCACCCCTCACGGCTCGCAACTGACAAACACACGGCTCGCACCTGACAAGCAACTGACAAATACACGGCTCGCACCTGACAAGCAACTGACAAATACACGGCTCGCACCTGACAAGCAACTGACAAACACACGGCTCGCACCTGACAAGCAACTGACAAACACATGGCTCGCACCTGACACACACACAGAACGCACCTGACATAGACGGCGCATCCCCCCACAGCCCGCGCTGCTGCATGGAATTCCGCTGCTGGATGCAGCGACTGGTGGTGGGTAAAGACACGGGGGGGGTGGGGGCAACCAGGCAGGCAGGCAGGTAGGCAGGCAGGCGGGTGGGAGGGCGGACAGGCAGGTGGAGCGATGGGCACAGGAAGGCAGGCGGGGGGGTGGGCAAACAGGGAGAGGAGGAACAGGGGAGAGGGGATCAGGTGAGGCAAGGTACATGGATGGTGAGGGGATCAGGTCAGGCAAGGTACATGGATGGTGAGGGGATCAGGTGAGGCAAGGTACATGGATGCGTGGGTGGTGAGGCAAGGTACATGGATTGAACAGCCTTGATTAGGGTGGTGGGTGCGGTTGTGGATGGGGTGGTAGGTGGTGCATGGTGGGTGTATTGTAAGCAACCACTGGCAGTAAGGAACGAGAGGAGAGAATAGAGAAGGGGTTAGAACCACAACAGGAAGAAAGAGCACGAACTCCCAATCCAGGGCGCGTCCCCTCCCTCGATCGATCCTGCGCAGGATCGATCATGCGCTCGGTTTAAAAAGGTTCAAAAAGTCGAAAACAGAAAAACGCAGGATTGTAGTGCGGTGGAGGATCGATCGTCCTCGATTTTGCACGATCGATCGAGGGAGGGGACGCGCCCTCAGATTCTGACATGAACAGCAAGACATAAACAGCAAGACATAAACAGCAAGTCATGAAGAGCAAGTGAATCACCCTTACCCCACTGAACATCTTGCACTCTCCCTTTCCTCCGCCCCCTTCCACCACAGCACGCACCTGCCACACCATCCCACCTCTCCGTCGCTTCGGCACGCACCTGGAACATGTCCCAGTGGGGCTGCATCGACTCCCCCAGGGACTGACCCACTCAGCAAGTCAAACAGCTTCACCCCAGTGAACATCCTGCACTCTCCGTCTCCTCCCTCCCTGCTGGACCCACCTGGAACATAACCACCCCAGCCTGCCCTCCCCCCCCAGTCAGCACCCACCTGGAACATGCCCAGCCCTTTCCTCCCCATGGCACGGCACCCCCCCACCCAGTCAACACGCACGTGGAACATGTCCCAGTCAGGTTGCATGAACTCCCCCAGAAACAGGCTGTTGTACGCCACCTGGTGGATAGGGTGGGGACCACGGCACAGAGGGGAGAGTGTCACCGCAAGAAGGGGTAATGACATGGGAAGAGGGATGGTGGGGGTATATGGATGGGGGAAAGGAGTGGTTGGAATGGGAAGAGGCGTGGTTGATGAGGAGTTGAATGGTGGGGAGCAGTGAGCAATAGGGAGAGGCCAATGAGGCGCGGCCAACAAGGCGCCTTTTGGGTTGGTGCAAAGAAACGTCACATGACCGAGAAGGATGACGAAGGAAAGGGTGTGGATAGATGGACGCACAGAGACAGTGTGCACAGTGGATGGTGGGAAAGGGACGACAAGGGAATGGGTCGAAGAGTGGTGGGAATGGGTCAAAGAGTGGTGGGAATGGGTCAAAGAGTGGTGGGAATGGGTCAAAGAGTGGTGGGAATGGGTCAAAGAGTGGTGGGAATGGGTCAAAGAGTGGTGGGAATGGGTGAAAGAGTGGTGGGAATGGGACGAGGAGTGGTTGGAATGGGACGAAGAGTGGTGGGAATGGGACAAAGAGCAGTGTGAATGGGACAAAGAGCAGTGCGAATGGGACAAAGAGCAGTGCGAATGGGACAAAGAGCAGTGGGTATGGGACAAAGAGCAGTGGGAATGGGACAAAGAGCAGTGGGAACGGGATGAAGAGCGGTGGGAAATGGACAAGGAAAAGTTGGAATGGGAGGAGCAGCGGTGGGAATGGGACGCACGGAGACGATGTGCACAGTGTGTGAGGCGGGGTCGGTGGGCCAGAAGTCATCAGACGCCCGCACCACTGCTGTCTGCTTCGCCCTGCTCAGTTGGAAACCCAAGGGGGTTGTAGGGTGATAGGGGAGGTAGATGGGGGCGCAGGAGAGGGGTACGGAGGCAGACAGAGAGGCAGGGTCGGTGGGCCAGAAGTCATCAGATGCCCTCACCACTGCTGTCTGCTTCACCCTGCTCAGTTGTTACAAGGAAGGGGCAGAGGGGGATGAGGGAGGAAAATGGGAAGAAAGAAAGGGCAGGGAAGTGGTGAAGAGGGGGACGATGGCAGAGAGGCCGGCTAGGTGGGACGGACGTCATCTGACGTTTGCAATCATCACTGCATGCGTTGCTCTCTGTGCAGTAGTTGGGGTGGAAGGAAAGGGAGGTGTGAAAATGGGCATGGGCATCAGGCAGGGATTTTGGTGCAAAACGGATACTGCTGTTGGAAACTGCTGCGAGCGCAGAGCACAACACAACTATTGCCACTTTGGGGTGAGGTGCAGACGTTATGATCCGGGGCAGTGATGAGCAAAATTCGGATCAGTGATGGAAGGGCAGCGCAGCAAGAGAGGGAGAGGCACAGGGAAGGGAGGGTGTGATTGTAGGGAAAAGAGAGAGAGAGCAGGAACTCACGAGTAGAGCCCATCGGTGTTGTGGCTCATGCAAGCGATCACCCCATTCCCTTCAAAGTTCTTCGCCACGCTCCGCTCCAGCGCCTCGTGATACCCTCTCGCCAGCGACCACCCCCCCTTGTACCCCCCCCCCCTCCCCTACCCCGGCTCCCATCCCACCCCCCAAGCGTCTCTAGAATAAGAGTGGCGGAACTCACGAGTAGAGCCCGTCGGTGTTGTGGCTCATGCAAGCGATCACCCCGTTCTCCTCAAAGTTCTTCGCCACGCTCCGCTCCAGCGCCTCATGGTACCCTCGCGCCAATGCCACCCGCCCCCCATACCCCGCGCCCAGCGTCTCCAGAATATTCTGCACGTCCACCTTCACCCCGTCCACTCCACAAGCCGCCAGATACCCGTGCAGCGCGTCGTAGAAATGGAAGACCTTGGCGGGGCTGACGACGCCCAGCCCGTTGAGGGTGAGGGAGTCGTGGGCCATGTCGGGCTGGTTGAGCAGGATGGAGGGGGAGGGGACTGGGAAGACGAGTGCCGGGTCGAACTGCTGCATGCTGGTCGCGTGGGGGCGCACGCCGCCCCAGTAGCCCATTAAGGCATGCCACACGTACACGTACCTGCAGTGGGGGGGGGAGGAGACAGGGGACGGGGGAGACCAGTTGGGGGAGGGTGTGAAAAGGGAGAAAATGGGTTGGTCAAGGACGGATGGGAGACAACAGAGGGATTGCATCGCTGCATGCTGGAGGCGTGCGGGTGGGCCCCTTACCAGTAGCACATCAGTGCACGCCATACATACACATAAAGGTTCAAAAATACGGTTTTCGTATTTTACGGTCTGTTTTTTACGGTAATTAAAAAAAAAAAAAAACAACGTTTTTTTGTTAGAAAACTGTTGTCACCAAGAAAAAAAAAGGGAAAAACAAGGCCGGATACATGTCCAATCATGCCAACAAGTGCACGCATGCAAGGAGGGGTTCGTCCTCTTCATCCTGGTACCTTTTGCCATCAATTTGGCCCCACACATCAGCCGTTTTTTTTTCCAAACAAAAAACCCCTCCTGGAACCGTTTTAAACCGTTTTTTACGATCGTTTTTTACTGTACCGTTTTTTACGGTACCTTTTTTTACGGTGAAATTTCAATAATACGGTCTTTTTTTTTTACCCTGATACACATACCTGGAGGTGGTGTTGAAGAGATGAAAGAGGTGAATCAATACTCACTGGCAGCGCATAAAATCCTCAACGAAGCACAGCAGAGGTTCTCAAAACGCCAAGAGCCACACTTGAATACAATGTCACTGCACGTGAAATAAAAAATCGCTCACTTGAAAGCAAGAGCCACTCGATTCCAGATTAAGAGCAAGGGACTCACTTGAGGTCATGAGCGGCTTTCACCTCGCGCACCACCTGCCCCAGCCCATGCACCATGCCCGCTGCCTCGCCCAGCGCACTCGCCCCCTCATCTCCCTGCCCCTCCTCCGGCCGCCCTTCACCCTCCTTTTCCTCCCCTTCCTGCTCCTCCTGCTGCTTCTGCTGCTGCTGCTTGAACTTGTAGTTGGCCTTGAGGTCTGTGAGGCGACTCGCATACCTGCAGAGTGAAATGGGCGCAGAGTGAGATTTGACCTTCTGAGGCGCCTTCAACTGAGGGAAAATATCAACCGGTAGAGGGGTTACTGTGTGGGCCGACAGTGATGGTGGCGCTGGAACGATCATGCGATTCAGCCGCCAGCCACTGACTGCTGCGACTGTGCTGCTGCACTGCTCTGTAAACTTTACTCCACCGTACTGTACCGCTCTTGTGAGCACTCACTGTGTGCCAACGGTGATGGTGGCTGGAGTCCTTATGCAAGTCAGCTGCCACAGACTTCTGAGAGGCCTGTGTGTGCTGCTGCACTGCACTGCACTGCACTGCACTGCACTGCTCTGCAGTACCCTACTGCACCGTACTGCACTACAGTACTCACTGTGTGCCGACGGTGATGGTGGCACTGGAGTCCTCATGTGAGTCAGCCGCCACTGACTGCCATCCATCATCGATGATTAGGAACTTGGCTGGCGTGTTGCCTGCTGCTAGACTGCATGGGAAGAGAGAGGGAAGGGGTGGATTGGGAGAGAGCGGATGGGTGAATGGGATGCCAGCCCCTGCTTGCCTGCAAACACCTAGCGAGCCCCTGTTTGACGCCCTGCACACCCACTTTGGTGTAGAACGCGTCCCACGTGCACCACCCAAAGCAATCCAGCAACTTTTTGAGACGTGTCACAAGAGACGTATCAGCAGCTTTTTTATACGCCACACTCTCTCTCAGAGTCTCAAGAACTGACGCACCTCCTAGCCCCTGCTTGCCTGCACGCACCTGGCGAGCCCCTGCTTGACGCCGTGCGCGTCCACCTTGGTGTAGAATGCGTCCCACGTGCACCACCCAAAGCAATCCAGCAGCCCTGGTAGCTGCTTCACTTCCCGCCTCAGGAACGAACCCGTGTGCTGCTCCACCGCCCTGCCAGGATGGGGAGGGGTTTGAAGCAGAGGGAGGATTTTGAGGCGCCTAAAAAATGGTCAAGAACGAGTAAAAGCGTGAATGGACATCAGAAGAGTAAACAGGGAGTGGAAGAATCAACGGAAGGAGAGAGGTGGAGGGGCGTGAAGGGAGGGAGGGAGGGGAGGGTGGCAGGGACGCACTTAACAGCATCGGCAATGATGGAGTAGGGGTTGGTGCCGCTGTGCATGGGACTAGAGAGCGGTTGAGAGGCGTGGAGTGAGAGTGGGAGAGAGAGAGGGAGTGAGAGGAAGGGGGGGAAGGATGGGCAGGGTGGCAGGGCACGCACTTGACAGCGTCGGAGATAATGGAGTAGGGGTTGGTGCCGCTGTGCATGTACACTGCGTGCAGTGACTCATCCGTGCACACCTGGGGGTCGCCTGGTGGCGGAGGTGGAAGGGCGTGGAAAGGGATGGGAGGAGGGGGTGGAAGGGGGAGAGATGAAAGGAGATACAACAGCAACTCTCACGATACACAGAAATTATTGCACACCTGGGATGGGGGTCGCCCGGTGGCAGGGGGTAGAGGGAAGGAATGAAAGAAACGAGAGGTAATACAAGTGGGACTCTCATGATAACGCATGTACACTGCATGCAGTGCAGCAGTGACTCCCTTGTGCACACACGGGGGTCGCATGGTGATGGGACAGCTGAACAAATGGGTTCTTAGAAAAGGGGATGCTTTTTGCGATTGTGCATGAACAGGACAGGGCGTGCACGTCAGCATGGAGGGCCAGACATGGTCGGCAGGGGAAATGATGGAGGGCGCAAGGCACGGGGCACGAGCACAGAGCAAAGGGCACGGAGTGACTCATCGTAGTCTTGCTGTTCACCGTTCTTCCTACTCTGTAACCCACCCGCCTCGTAGATGTAGTGTTCTGTTGGAACCTTAACGACAAGTCTAGTTTGCTGCGGTTCGAAACCGCCACAATGGCCTGTCGCTCACGCTCACGAGGCACACTTCAAGGTGGTCCGAGGGCGCGCGAACAGCAAGCAGCGCACAGTGGGTGCGTCTCACCGCTCTCAAGGCACACTTCAAGGTGGTCCGAGGGCGCGCGAACAGCAAGCAGCGCACAGTGGGTGCGCCTCACCGCTCTCGAGGCACACTTCGAGGTCGTCGGAGGGCGAGCCTTGCAGCGCTGCGCGGAAGGACCCGTCCAGCAGCGGCAGCACCACCACGTACACCCTCGCACTCGCACTCGCGCTGCCGCCCGCCTCTGCAGATGCGTGCTGCTGCGGCTGCTGCTGCTGCTGCTGTGGGGGGAGCTCGAGCAGCAGGAACTGCGTTTCCACGGGGACCTCGCGGCCGCTGCTGCCCACACGCTGCGTCATCCACCAGAGCTTGAAGCGGAAGCAGCACAGGAACCGCGCGCCCCTGGGGGAGTGAGAGGGGATGGGGGAGGGGAGGGGGCGGGTGGGGGAAGGAAGGCGGAACACCACCGCACAGCACAGGGCGACGTTGCGGTCGATTGGAGGTTGATCGAAAACGAGGGACATGGCGCGCATGTTCGTTTCGATCTAGTACTATTTTGAGACATGATTGGGGTTAGTATGTTTTCTCTCGCAAAAGCTTCCCAAGGCACTCACTTGTGTTTTACCGCGCCACCCTTGCCATTTTAGGTCAGCACATACCACCGCGCAAAAGAAAGCCAGTCAACCGCGTTCATCAGCGCGCGATCACACCGCATTGCACCTCACCATTGTGTGCTCACACTACACTGCACCTCACCTGAGCGCGCCCAGGCGGAACACGTGCCAGCTGTGCGCCTCGCGGAACCGACTCCCCAGAAACACGCCCTGCGCCTTCGCCTCCCCCTCACCCGAATTCCCCGATCCCCCCGCGTGCGGCGTGAGCACGAGCGACGGCGGCACGTCGCTCAGCACCACGCGACCATGGGCGAGCAGCTGTCGCTCGTCGCTAATGCGAATGCTGGAGTGGACGGGCTGGGCGGGGGAGTGCGACACTGCAGTTTGCGAGTCCCGTACAACTGGTGGCGGGTTTGATGCCGTTGGTGGCGTGACTGATTCGGCTGGTAGAGGCTCGTGAGAGGAAGAGAAGGCGGCACCGACGGGAGGAGGAGAGAGCGTGTCGATCGCTGGTTGCACGGCTACCGCCATGTCTTCCTGCTGATCTGGAAACTGTTGTTGCTGTTGTTTTAACTCCAGCTGGCGGCTTTGCCGCACGGACGAATGACCGCGGAATGGCGGCGTGGGCGCAGCGGAGGCACGCGGTGACGGACGAGCGGCGGCAGCGGCGCCAGCGGTGGAAAGATATCTGGAAACGCGAGGCTTGATGACACCGAGATTGTTCAAGTCAGTTATCCTGACAGCGGCAGTGGCGGTAGAAAGGCTTCTTGAATGGACGCTACTCGATAGACATCGCGTCTGCGGAGATCCGATGCGAGGAGAATGCAGGATGCGCAATTGCGAGGTGAGCGACGCGATCGGGCTGCGAGGAGCAGCGAGGGTTGGAGAGGAATAAGTTAGAGTGAGAGGCGACGACGCATTAGGGGTGCGAGCCGACGACGCGGTGGCGGTGAGAAGAGGAGACGCTTTCACAAGCTGACTAGCGGCTGGACGCGGCAAGGAACGTGCGCGGACCATTCTTTCCTGACAACCACCATCTCACCTGCTGCAGAGACTAGAATAGGCGATAACGGTGGCGAAGAGTCAACGGTGGCTGCCGGGGACATCACTGTGCACCTTTAGTGGCGGTGACGCCATTTCGGGTTACAAGGTCTGCTGAAGATGTTATACTAAAGGTCAGGCTAGAGAGCTGGGACGATCGAAATGGGACTACGGCTATTGGTTGGGCTAGTCTTTATCTGATCTGGGCAGTGGTGCTTATATGTGCGCGACAAACACAGTAGAAGGCTTTTTGTTGGTGGTGGTGAATGGTGGTGGTTGATGGGAAAATGGTTCTTCACACTGACAAATTGTTAGGACACTAACGCTGAGGTTTCGATATCCTAAGAAGTCAACTGCGGAAGGGTTCTGGATCCAAGCAGGCCTTGACGCCAAGGGCAGCGCGACCGGCAGCGCGAACGCGACGCTAGTTGTTGTGGCGGGGGTGGTCTAGAATCGTTCGACCATGTAGGAGTACGAGATACGTGTAGGGTCGTTGTGAATTGTGAAAGCTGGTGCGGGGATGATTTGCCTCGGGTGTGGCATCCATGCCTGCTGTGAAAAGTGTACCTTGGGAGTTTCACGGATTGGATCTGGCAAAGGGAATGCCGCGCAACGCCTTGGCAAAGGGAGGGAAGGGAAGTTCACTAGATCGCATTACCGCCAATCAAGTTGAACCACAGATCGCAACTGCAACAGTTGTTGTGAAAGCTCTGGGGTGAGCTGTCCTCATTGAGACCACAAGCACTCCAGTGGCGACTGGCAACAACCAAGGTCGTACACATAAGGGCGCATTCTAAGGTTCAGACGAATGGAATATAGCCGTTGGAACATTGGTGATGGAGGGCCTCGTCAAAAGCTAGGAAACAAGCGTCATATCCACGTCGTTCGTAAGTCGATCGCCCTGGAGAGAAGTGGGTTGCCCAGTTGGCGTAGCCTGCAGATCTTTTCGATGGATACAACTACTGTACTTGGAGAGCCATCGAAGTCAGGGTTAAGGGTTCTACGTCGGATCCACGTGGAATATAGCTCATACCGCGTATTGTACGTGGTTTACATCAAGGTTCTGAAGTTCGCCCGCCAGCCGAAGTTTGGACAAACCTGTAGAAATTTTCACCTTTGATTGGCTTCCATGCTCCAAGATACCTGGAAACTAGTTTGGTGACCAATGATCGGGTGTGATTACACGTCACTGAGGGTCATTTTGGGCCGGATGACGGGCGGACAAGTGGAGACCGCGACCTTAGATGGCGTTCCTGAGATGGGACCCCATCGATTGCCATGATCGGTGCAACAACATTGGTCCAGCGAGGCAGAATTCGATTCTGGTCACACCCACCACACGTGCCAGGCGACGGTAGTCGCCTAGGGCGAAAAACATGAAAGATTTGGGTAAATCAATCACAGGATTTTGTATTTAACGTTCATGCGACTAGACTTAACGGCCAATTCCAACCAAGCCTCACAAATGTGCTTCAAACCCAATCCAGTCACGACTGGGTTCCATGACAGCCAGAGACGACGGTGGTTATGACGTTTGGCGTTAGGGAAAATTGACGTGCAGAAAAATCGCACGACCATGAGCTGCCAACTCATGCGACGTCCACATTCACTCATTCCATAGCTGCCATGACTCAGGCACGTGCTCTGTGCACTGTAGCTGGGGGAAGTTCGGATGGGCCCATCTGAGGAACGCCATCTTAGGCGCCGCCACTTGGAGATATTTCCCGTAATGCCTGCTCCGTTGAGGCTCGATTATTTTGGGGACTCAAGCGGCTGTATATTATTTTGAGCACTAAATTAAAAGCTGAGTCCGCAGCTGCTTTTATTTTTTTTACGGGCTTCTATTCTCGGTAGTGCTAAATCTAATTGGGTGAGGGCTCGCCGTACCACCCACAATTTCGGGTTCGTATTCGCTACGTTCGTGGTGTTGGTGAACTGATGCTTAGGTGTTATCTAAAACTTGTTCGTAAGGTGACATGTGAACTTCAGTTACCTTTGTATTCTCCAACAACGGATTTGCATGTGCGAACATCTCTAGCTGTCAGAGGTCCACTGGTGATCCCCGATTGATCCTAGGGAAGGGTTACAGGCTCGTTGTCTTGGGGGGTCATGGGCGCACTGACCCGCTACTTAACAAGCCCTTTTATCCCAGTGGTCTAGTGACTGGGATTCTGACACTAGCCACCCGACTTTGGAGGCTCACAAGCACCTTTGTACATCTCAACAGGGAACTGACTCCGCCCAGCAAGCTTGCTCTCGGGGAAGAAGGAAAAAAACCTATAAAGAAAGGCATGCAATCATGGGAGGCATCAATCCTAAACGCATTGTCGTCTAGTGTTTAGGGTTCATGCCTCCCGCGGATGGTGTTACGAATAGAAAATGGTAAAAAGTACTGTGCACTCCTAACAGTAACAAGCGAAGCACATAGTAAGGAGTACGAAGACGAAAATGCAGGATGGCGCGAAAGGTCGCATACGGTTGCGAAGGATCTGGACCGTCATGTCAAGAAAGTGAACGAGAATGAATGCATTGAGCAGAAAGTTGGTACAAGTACTAACCCTAATTGGGTTGTACCCCCTTATGGGCTACCCCCACTACAGCCGACACAATAAGAACATTTTAACAGTTTGACACACCCCCATAGGCAAAGTGGGGGAGAACAGGAGGCCACAAGACCAGCCAAAAAAAGAAAAGCAAACTCAGGGTGGATCACAAAGTCACCACACACTATGAGCACAAGCAAATGGCCACAAGATCAGTTCACATGCACAATTATAGAAACGAGAACAAACAGTACAGTGATCATAACCTAGCAGGGATAAGCAAGCAGATATATGTATATAGATCACAGTACAAGCAAAGTCACGAAGTGAGCAAGTGAGGCAAATTAGGCATAAGGCCTAAAACAGCACAGAAACGCTGATGATCACCAGGCTAAAGTGCCTTGGTGAATATATCAGCAGTGTTGGCCTGAGTGGCCACGTAAGCAAGACGAAGCTGACCACGCTGCTGCAACTCTCGAGCAAGGAAGTAACGCCGAGCGATCTGCTTCGTCCTGTGCTCCTGTCTGTGCTCCTGACACAAGGCAATCATGGCCTTGTTGTCTACGTACAGAATCGGAGGAGAACGAGGCCGCTCTCCCAAGTCGGCCAGCAGGTAGGTGAGCCAGCGTAACTCCTGTACAGCCATGGCCCCTGCGTAGATCTCAACCTCACAACTAGAACTGAGAACAGAAGACGAGTGGGTAGACCGCCAAGAAACAGAGGCGGAGCCAAGGCTGAAAGTGTAACCCTGTGACGACCGCTGCGTGGCCAAGTCATCAACCCAAGACACGTCTGCGTGCCCAATGAAGACAACTGGACCCCGTCCTCCAAGCACGAGCCCCATGCCCGACGTACTGTACAAGTAGCGCAACACCCTCTTAGCGGCCTCCTAGTGCTCTGGTCGGTGTCTCCCGGGCGCAACGTAGCGTGCCAGGATGCTAAGAGGGTAGGCAAGGTCAGGTCGAGTGCAGGTCATCAGGTACATGAGGCAGCCCACAAGCTCTAGATACGGGCCACTCGGCTCTACGGACTCGTCCGAAGGTGGAGCTGAGAGCTAGTGACCGGTAGGCAGAGGAGTGGACTGTGGCGAGGAGTACCGGAAGCTGAAGCGCTGAAGGACCTGGTGCACCATGTGTGATTGAGTCAGGGTGATGTTGCGCCGTGCTCTGTCCCGGGTGATCTGTAAGCCAAGATAGTTGCGCAGCTCACCAAAGTCAGTGCAGGTGTGTCTCTTCTGCATCTCCGACTTCACAAGGGCCAGTGCCTCAGTGTCAGCAGTGGCAAAAACCAAGTCGTCGACGTACACAAAGATGTAGAACGGCGGCAGTGAAGTGTCGGTGCGCAAAAACAGCGACGGGTCAGCAGTCGAAGGAGCAAACCCAAGAGCCGCAAGCGTCGTCCTCAGTGTGTCGTGCCACTCGCGAGGCGCCTGGCGGAGATCGTAGACTGGCCACCGGAGGCTCCACTGGATACTTGCAGGAAACGACCCAGTGAAGCCAGGTGGGCGGCGCAACCAGATCTCCTCGTGCAAGCTGCCCTGTAAGAAAGCTGTGCTGAAGTCAAGAGAGTGAAGCTCGTAGTCACGCTGAGCGGCGACGTGCAGTAGCACACGAAGAGTGGTCATCTTCGGGGTAGGGGAGAAGGTATGGAAGTAGTCGACCCCCTGTCGCTGACTAAAGCCTCGTGCAACATAACGAGCCTTGAAGACAGGCGGAGAACTCGGCGGCCGCTTCACCCTGAAAATCCACATGCCATCGACTATGTTCGCCCCAGGAGGGGGAACTGCGTCGACGTAGGTGCCTGTGGACTTCGAGGATGCCATCTCTGCATCCATGGCTGTCTGCCACAGAGAGGAGTAGGGACCCGTAATCGTCTCTGCGTAAGAGCGCGGGGTTAGGATGTCTGGTGCATCCGGGTCTCCCTCAGGTGCAAGCAGCATGGCGAGGA